TTTACTACCTTCTCTTCTTTCTCTCTCCCTCCTCTCTCTCTCTCCCTTTCTCTTCCACTTTCCTATTCTCTGTTACTTTCATCTCATAAATATCAATTAAATAACCTAACTTTTACAATTCATCACATCTCAATTACCCACGGGCAATTTTTCTGAACCTAATTTACCCAATGATTTTCTTACTAACATGTACCATTCTTAGTTTTTTTTTTTTTATTTCTTTATTTTATCTAATAATTTTTTTATCCTATCATATAATTGATTGAAATGATATGCAACATTTGAATTAATTAATAATGATAATAATGATAATAAAACAGTCCCTGCCATCATTTCTCCAAATACTTATTGAAATTTAAAAAATTTTTTTCAACAAATAATTACAAAAAATATGCATTTATATATAAGTATATGCACATACAAGCATACATACCAAATTAGCTTTTAATTATAGTAAATATTACGTCATATTTTATATTGAATATATTAAGTATTATATTAGGTATTGCAAGTATTGCATAATTCCTGGTATAAGTAAAAGTTTAAAATTTTGCAAAACTTTAGTTTAACAAAAAAAATGGGAAAAATGGTTATTAAGTATTTAATACCTTACTGATAATTACTTCATTTATAAATCATTAAATTTTATCATCGAAACCAAAAATGGAACAAATAAATAATTAAATAAGTAAAAGATTATTTATCTTGTATAAAAAATTAAGAAAAGGGTAGGGAAAAATGTTTTTCACATAAAGGAAACAATGATTGAATGATAAAAGTTATCGGTTAATAGATTGATAAAAGTTAATTACTGACCAACTGATAAATATCATTGATTAAATGATTAGTAAAAGTTAAAGTTATTTATTTATTGATTATAAAATTCAATAAACAGACCGGTATATATTTAAAAAATATTTAAATCAGTTGAAATTTCCGTATGAAATTAATTTTCCCTTTTTCACAATTTTCACGAACTGTTAAACCTCCATCCTTGTCAACTGTTTCAATCATTAAAAAAAAGCCATTTGATAGATGGTTGGGTAGAAGCTTCATTTATTTAACCTTTAACCTTCCTATCTTTTTCTTTCCATGTATTATTATTTTCTCATTCTTCCTTTTTTTGTTTTTTTTTGAAAAGGAAATGAAACCTAATAAATAAAAATCCTTAAAATAATTTGAAAATTTCGAATGATTATAATAATGAACGATTAAAAATAATACTGAAAAGAAAAAAAAAAAAAAGAGAAGAAATGGATCTTAAATTAAATTTAATTAACAAAGATAATTTCCGGAAAACAATGAAGTGGAAAAAGTTAAGGGATCTAATAAATTATGTGTTAGAAATATTTTATCGAACTTTTAAAATCACTGATTATGACGAAATAATTAGCGTAATTTATAAAGCCATCATAATATTAGCATTATTAAGATTTATAATGAATTTCAAAAAAAAAAAAGAAAACTTCTTCATGACAAAAATTAAAAATTTATATTTATGGGTTATCAAAAAAAGAAATTAATACAATTACTAAAAAAAACAGAAAAGAGCAAAAATTCTTTCAAACTAAATAAAATTAAATTTTTTAAAATTTTAAAAAGAAAGAGTAAACTTGATCACAAAATTATAAAAATATAAATTCATCGAAAAAAATTTTCAAATTATCATATATTTGTCATTGCTTAATTTAGATATCGTAACAAGAGGAAAAAAAAAGAAAAACTGGGATAGAATTGAATAATTTATGCAAATTTGATTTTAAAAAAAAAGTGGAAAATTCATTAGTACGATGGAGTAATGATAAGTGATAATGAATATGACAGAAGTAATAACTAAGTGATAGCAAAATATTTAACACCGAAGAAGATAACAATAACAATAACAATTTGAAATATTTTATTGAAGATTATTTATTGCTCAAAAAAAATAGCAACTTTTCTTTTTGTTTGTTTGTATTGTTGTTTATTTAAATAAACAAAATTTATTAAATGATATGTAAAAATTTGTTAGTATAATAAAAAAAAATGAAAAATATAAATTTGAATATAAATTTCAAAAAATACAAATTTATAAATTCGTATATAAATTTGGATATAAATTATGTAATTGAATTGTAAAAAATATTTCATAGAAAATATTTGAATAAAAAAAAGGAAAATTTTAATACGCAACATGAGAATTAAATTAAAAGAAAAATTATAGAATAGAATTATATAATGGAATGAAATAAAACAGAATAGAATAAAATGTAATAGGATGGAAAAAAACAAAGAATTATAAGATATAATGGAATATTATAAAATAGGAATGGAATTATTTCATTATAATTTGTGATTATAAACGAATTTGAAAACAGAAATAATAATTTGAAATAAAATTTATTAATTTTAAAAATAATAACGAAGAAAAATATGAAAATTATAAATTTATGAAGGTTGAAGTGCGAAAGTATATTGCGCGCCGTAAATATAATGGAATTTGAATACTTAATAATTTCATTCATCAATAGAATATAATTTTCAAATATTTCGACTCCAAAAAAAAAAACAAAACCGCTTTCCTATTCATAATTACTTACATGATAAATTATCATATAAACATACACGCATATAATTTCGATATTAATTTATTATTTTCTATGCTAAGCTATTTCTGAAAATTTTTTTTATTTTTTTCATCGATCATTAATTCTACTTAATTACAGAGTGGTGATAATTTTTAGTCCATTGTTATCACTGTTATCATCATTTTCATCCCTATCTTTAATGTATCAATCAGTTCTAGGCCTATTTTCACTACTATTATCACTGTAGCATTCAAAATTATCAATCCTATTTTGAATGTATCAATTCATGGCTTACTTAATCACTGTTATCATCATTTTCATCCCCATCCTTAATGTATCATTTCTAGGCTTATTTATTTAATGCAATGTAATCCAATTTAAAAATGCATGAATTAATTAATCTAGGCTAAATTAAATGAAATGAAATTTTCTTTTCACTCATTTCTATCGTATCTTACACACATATAAAATATAAAATCAAATATGTAAATTTATAAAGAAATTAACAATCTTAACTTCTATTTTCAGTTTTTTTTTTTTTGTAATTTTTTATTTGTCAATTTGTTAGCAAAAAAAAAAAAAGAAAAAAAGAGAGAAAGAAATGTTTGATTCATTTTTACGATTTCTTTTGTCACTCCCATGAGAATTATTGAAAATCACAAATATTTGATGCGATTGTCGAATGTTTGAATAAATAGCCTAGCAAAACTTTCTTGGCTCCTTGGCTTCTTCGCCATTTTTTTTTTTTATCTTTTTAAAAAATCAAACAAAAAATTAAAATTACAAGAAAAAAAATTAGAAAAATATCAAAAGAGAGAGAGAGAGAAAGAGGAAGGGGAGAGAGAAGAAAAAAAAGA